TTGTCCCTGGACTGCTGTACCTCATTAGTCCCATTTGGTTTTATGGGACTGTCCACTCCCCGGCTGAATGGTGAACCTCGGGAAATGTGGTGAAGTCTTTTAATGAGCGTAAGTGTTTGATTTTTTGGAGCTCCCAGCTATCTAGTTTCTCTTCTGGTGTTTATACATTGTTGGTAATGTTTTGTATTCTGTTTATGCCATGTATTAGGGCTCTTAGCGTTGTCCCTATTTTTTCTTCTATGATCTTTATCGTTTTAGATTTTATATGTAGATCTTTGATCCATATTCAGTTAGTTTTTGTGTATGGTGTGAGGTATGGATCTTGTTTCATTTTCTTGCAGATGGATATCCAGTTATGCCAGCACCGTTTGTTAAAGGGGCTGCCTTTTCCCCATTGGACGGACTTTGGGCCTTTGTCAAATATCAGCTGCTTTTATGGCTTTATGGTCAAAAAAGATGCTTTGTAATATTACGATGCTTTGGATTCTGTTTAGGCTTGCTTTATGCCCTAATATGTGGTCTGTTCTGGAGAATTATCCATGAGCATTGAAAAAGAAAGTATACTTGGCTGCTGTTTGATGGAGTGTTCTGTATATGTCTGTGAGATCAAGTTGGTTGATTGTGACATTTAGATCTTCTGTGTCTTTATTGGGCTTTTTTCTGGATGTTCTGTTCTTCACTGAAAGTGGTGTGTTGAAGTCTCCTATTACTATTGTGGAGAGCTGTCTATCTCTCTTTTCAGTGCCGTTAGAGTTTGTTTTATGTATTTTGGAGACCTGTCATTGGGTGCGAAAATATTTATTATAGTTAGGTCCTCCTGGTGTATTGACCCTTCTTTAATCATTATGTAGTGTCCTTCCTTGTCCTTTGTGGTGGATTTTACTTTCAAGTCTATTGTATCAGAGATTAATATTGCCACTCCTGCTCTTTTATGATTGTTGTTTGTTTGATATATTTTTCCTATCCTTTGAGTTTTAGTGTGTTTGTGTCTTTAAGCGTAAGGTGTGTCTCTTGTAGGCGGCATATAG